AAAAAAAAAAAAAAAAAAAAAAAAAAAAAAACTGTGAAATTAATTTTAACCTGTTTTGTTTTACATAATATATCCAAAATGTTATGATTCCAACACGTAGTGAATAGAAGTCATTAATGAGATACCTTAGATTCTTTTTTCTGTACAAAACTCTTGTGTCTGGGTATATTTTATATGTAATACACATTTCAGTTCGGACTAGCCACGTGTGGCCTGTGGCGGCCATATCAGACAGCATGCTGTATAGTGTCTAATTTCATTTCCCCAGCACTGGCAAAACTGTTTCTTTGTATTCCTGTAATTGGCTTTGGTTAATGTTTGCGCGTTACATTCCCTTAGTGACACGTGTGTCACGCCGGTTCGTAGCAGCAAACACCTTCTGGGCCCCGTTTTCCTTTCTTAATTGGAAAAGGCAGGAGGCGGTGGGGGGACTTGCCTGAGAGCTCAGTCTTCTTGGGCTAGGTCAGTGTGCATATGATTGTTCAGAAATAAGACAGAAGTCAAGCGGCTTAATGCTTCTGCAATAAATTTTGTTTCATACAACTTTTATCATTGTCTGTAACGTTCTTTTTTTTCGCATGAAGCGGGCAGGTAGTGAGAGCTCCATAAAGTTGTGGAATTGCTACAGCCAGATAGATGGTGAGCCTGCCTTGGGGCCTCCCGAGAGCTGACTTGTTCCCAGTACGAGTGGCATTAGCAGGGCGAAGCAGCACCCGCTTGCCCCCCCCCCCCTGCCCCCGCCCACCTGGCAAGGCGGACATTCCTGGCCAGGGCTGTTGTGGCCACATGGGGAGACACTGGGCCACCTCAGAGCGGGTCACAGACTGTTTTGGGTCTAAAGTAACTACCCATCTTGATCTTATATAAACATACACACATATATGTATGTATGTGTAGTTAGAAATTCCTTAGAGTTCTTTCACTTCTGGGTACTCGTCTGTAATTTTGTTTTCTAGAAGAGGCGCCAGTGGAACTGGTCATTTCTCCCTATAGCAGTATGCGACTCTCAATTTTTTATGGCCAGTTTGTAACTGGGCTGCATGTGAAGCATAGATAGGATTCAAATAAGCGGAGGTGGGAGGAGCCAGAGTAGAGGCAGGGAAGGGAGTGGGTCTGCGGAAGAGAATGTGTAGAACACGGCCCGTGGGAAAAATGTAGGCAGTGCGGTCTCGCGGTAAAGAATTCTTCTAGGTAAGTAGTACGAGGTTGAGACCACGTTAGTAAGAAGATTCAAATGCCAACCAAAGTGTGGATACCTCTTTAGAATATTCCAGATCCAGATTCTTGTGTAGCACCCTCCCCCAAGAGTATGTTTTTTTAATACTGACTTAATTAAAGTCCATTTTTATGACCAGCCTTAAATGGACCTTCTGAATTGAGGTCTCTTAGAATCATTGTCTCATGATTCCTCAGATGAGCACCTTTTCTAACTAGCAGACACACTGATACGTTGAACTTGGAATTAAAAGATGTGATTATAGCTTAGAACGTAGGCAAATTCCCATCGTGTAAGAAAATGCCACTTCTCAAATACTGTGCCTTTCTCGTCATCCATTACCTGACAGTAACGGATGTGCGTGCTTCTTCCCGAAACGGCACGTTTGGCGCCGTGGTCAGAAATGCTGAGGGTTTGTAACTTTATAAACTAGTAATTTTACAGCGTTACCAGTGTTCTGTTACCAGCTCAGTGTATGATGGCCACACGAGCTGCTTCCTAACCTACCAGCAGATCCCGTCGGTAAGATTCTGGGCTTCGTCCCAGTAAGGAGTGAGCACACTCTGGGCGCATCGGGCAGCGGCCGGGGAAGGGGCCAGGGGGAGAGCCGTCCGCACTGTCGTGTCGCCGGAGCAGCGTCAGGGAGGGACAGACTGTGTCTGGCCTGTCGTGGGGAAGGTGGGTGGGCCGGCGTGCGGGGGCAGGTGAGCCCGGGGTCGAATGACGACGGTGCTTTGGCAGACACGATGCATCAGACTGGCGTGTGGCAAGTACGAACAAAGGCAGGAACGTGGAAACAGGATGGAACAGGGGTGGGGGGCGGGGGGATGAGGCACGGTGTGCTGCAGGGGCGAGGACTCGAACCGGGTTTTGGGGGTATGGCGCTTGTCAGCTGGCCTCTGGTCAGGAGCCCGGACGGGCGTGCTTCCAGAAGGGGCTCCCGCGCTAGGCAGGCCAGTCACGGGGCGGGGGCTTGCCAGGACTGTTGAGAGAGTGAGGCCACGATGCTGCCCAGTGTCTCCCTGGGATATTTACACTGTGACCGCGTGAGTGTCCTTGCACATGGGCGGTAAATGCCTGGAGGCGCTGCAGGTTTCGGCCTTCTTAAACGTTACTTGCGGTTCACGCGGAGTCCGCCAGATTCAAGCGTGTGAGTTGTTTAGGACGCACGGTGGCCGTGGAACAGCCTCGTGACTCCCCGCGGTGTGAAGTGAGGGGCGGGGGGTGAGAGCACGAAGCGATCCCACAGGGAAGCCGCGGTTCACGGTGACCGTGCAGGACGGACTCCCCAGACCGAGAACGGCCCCAGGTGTGTGAGCGGGCTCTGGGCTGAGGCGAGCGGACGGGAGTCCCCGTTTTCTCTTATTCTGTGTTGTGACTGTGGATGGAGTCCTCGCACCGTGTCCAAGTGAGTGAGGCTGTTTTCATCATTAACAGGAACCTTAGAAAGTGTGCCGGAAACGGGGCAGGAGGGTCTTCGTTTATTGTTTTAAAATGTATATATTTGGTACTCTGTTGTTTCTATCCCTGTTCCTAAAAATACTATATTATCAGTGTTACTGCTCAGCGGTTTTCTTTTCAAAGATGGCAGTAATTGAATATTTGCACTTGATCTTAGCCAAAGGCTGAGAATCGACAGAGTAATGATTGTTATCGTCTGCATTACGAGGACAGTATCGCATTGCCGACAGATTGTGCTTGTGAAGATGGCCGTGCCCGTGCGCACTGAAACCGGCACCCCGAAATGCCGTAGGCCCTGCGTCTCTGTCAGAGCGCAGAGGGAAAAAGTAGCTCTGCCCTCAGAACCTATTTTCACAGAAATTCCGGCCTCAGGTATTGTCTGTGAGGAAGTAGCGTGCCCCATTTGTGGGAGGGGAGAAGGGAGCTTTTCGGTTCCCCCGAGTTCTTGCCGGGCAGCTGCAAAGTCTAGTGTAGGACACAGGCCTCGTGAGGGCAGGGGGTGCGTTCCGTTCGGTGACGCACGTCCAAAGCCTGAGTCAGCATAAGCGTTCAGTGAGCGAGGGTCGAGTGAGCGAGATCCTCACTTAAAAGAGCTGAGTTGCGGAATTAAGCACTCAGTCGCAGAGTACATAAAAGTGTCGAATGTATTGAAAACGTCAGATCACACGCAAGGGAACACCCCGTATAACGGATGGGGGCAGGGAGGAGGCTGTCCTAGAAGGAATTTCCCACAGTGTGAGCTAGCTGCCCAAGTTCAAGGAAACCCAGTACTGGCCTGAGTAAAGCTCTTTTGCTAAGTGACTCACTAAAATTCAGAACGTTGCCATTTATCGAGTGCCTGCCATATATTTTCGTTATTGTGAAATTTCAGATTTACCAAAAAGCACAAAGCTTCGCAAACTACCTCGGTGTTGGCGGAGGGGGGTGAAAAGGTCACAGGCTGCACCTGGTTGTCCTGTTGTACTAAAAGTGCTGGGTGATTCCTGGGGGGCAGGTGGCCTAGGGGACACCTAGGCCAGAGGGTGGGGGGCTGCCAGAGAGGGCACCGGGCTTATACCTTGTGCATGGCTTTTATCAGCCCAGTTCCCAGATAATGGAGCCATGGGAAATCTGAAGATTTCCCAAAATTGAGTTGTCTTGTTAAATTGAGACATTTTATGCCATTTTTAAAATGAGCCACGCAACAGATGGCTTTAGGCTCACAGAACCGGGGCGTGATACGTGCTGGAGTTTCCCCGAGGGGACCACGGGGGGAGAGGCCTTGGGCCCCGGCAGTCACACCGTCCTCCTCCAGCCTGCCTGTAACTGGAGGGAGACACGGAGGGCTTTTGGGGGGAAATTACATAGTTCCAGAGTATTCGACCTTTGTTTCAGTTAAGTCGTGTATTGAAATCGCAGTCTTTACAGCTTTGTGTGAGCCCTTTTATAGTTTTGCTTTTATGACACGATACTTCATAACTGCCGTGGTTACTGTGACCTAAGAAACATGTACTCGGTTGTAGAACATTGGCAGGAATATCCAAGTGAGAGTTCATGCACGATTGCTTCCTTTGTTCGTTCCAATATCTTGTCCCTGTTTGATTTTTATGTCGTGGTTATAAATGTCCATGTAGAATGTTGGCGATTCTACTACGCCAACATTGGAAGTTCTCACCCCCCCGCCCCCCCGAGTCCCCCGTGGTGTAACATGAAGCAAGGCTGGTGCGCCCTCTGTGTGGACTGGGGCTCCAGGATTCACCTAGAGTTACGATACGTGATCCTTCAATTGAGTCGTACAGAAGATTTTCTACGTGATCTTCTCACTGCCTAAAGCCCCCTCCTTGCCGCAAGAAGGTTTTTCTTGTTTTAATTTTCAACGACAGTTTCGAAAAAATAATGGGATATAGGAACGTAAAAGTACTGTAATAAATTGCCTTTGTATCAAAGCGGCTAACGGTATGTGTCACCGGGTAGCATTAGCTCACCCACTTAGGGCTGCTCAGAGCTCAGCCGGAATCTGCATTCGGATCGCGTGTCTTCGCATCCTCATCAGCTGGGTTAGTAATATCTGCTTTGCAGGAGTACTTTTCCTGAATTTAGGAACATAAAATAGGTACATTTCCTGTCAGTTCCTTTACATTTACCACGTAGAGTGTTAATTTAGTGCCAATTTTCGTGTAGAAGCAAGAACCGGGACTTGTGTTACCACTCTGTACCTGTTTTATTTTATTTTTGTTCTGTTTTTATTTCACTGCGTATTTTCAATGCCATGTTTCTTACCCTATTTTTGCCTAGGGTGCTGGTCAAGATAAACTTGGAATCTATGTCAAGTCTGTCGTAAAAGGAGGTGCTGCAGATGTGGTTAGTATGATTTCTCCCGTTGTAAGTTCACCGCATGTCACATTTAGCAAACAACCTGAGGTACTTCAGTGATACTTTCTGTTATAAAATGCTAAGTGTGGTGTTTGCTGAAAAGACCAACGTGAGCATACTTACCGCTGACTTTCCTCTTCCTCCTCTTGCCCTTTGCTGTCCCTCCCGCCCAACACACGTACCTTTTGGGCGCGCAGGATGGGCGCCTGGCCGCAGGTGACCAGCTCCTCAGTGTGGATGGACGAAGTCTGGTAGGACTCTCTCAGGAAAGGTATCGTTTATGTATTTGTTTAAGGTTGGCATTTGCAGGATGTTTCACAGTAAATTTAGATTTAGAAGACAAAAAGTAATGCTAGAAAGATCTGCCCTTAATCTTCACTTTTTAAAAAAAATTTTTTTTTTTTTTAACGTTTATTTATTTTTGAGACAGAGACAGAGCATGAACGGGGGGTCGGGGGGGGGGGGGGGGGTCAGGGAGAGGGAGACACAGAATCTGAAACAGGCTCCAGGCTCTGAGCTGTCAGCACAGAGCCCGACGCGGGGCTTGAACTCACTAACCGTGAGATCATGACCTGAGCTGAAGTTGGCTGCTTAACCGACTGAGCCACCCAGGTGGCCCCAATCTTCACAGTTTTAAATATAAACTTCGTGTATATGACCCCTCTCTTGTTAGCATGTTAGAGTGTGTATTTTGGTCTGGAGCAGTTTCTTTGAAGCTTAAAAAAGCCTATTCTTAGCACATCCTGAGGATTCCTGAAAGTCCTTTTACTGTTCTTGATAGAATGGTTCTTGGTTTCTGAGGAAGGGAGCCGGCAGCCGGGGGCCCGCGCAAAGGTTCCAAGCTGCTGCTCAGAACGGCGGGTGAGGCCGCACGACGTGCGGTTACTGTGGTCGCAGGCGGCCGTCGAGAGGAGCGGGCACGGCTCCCCTTTCCCTTACTGGTGCTGTCCTCTCTTCCTAGGGCAGCAGAACTCATGACAAGGACCAGTTCCGTGGTGACACTGGAAGTAGCCAAGCAAGGAGCGATCTACCACGGCCTGGCCACCCTGCTCAATCAGCCGTCCCCGATGATGCAGAGAGGTGAGCGCCCCCGGCGCAGCCTTGCACGCCGCGTCTGCCCGTGACCGCTGTCGCAGTCGCCACCTGGTGTTGATCGTTTACCGCGTGCCGGGCATTTTACAGTCACGGCCTCTCTCGACAGTCACAAAACTCTATGGAGTAGGTGCTGTCCCAATTTTAAAGACAAGCTCGGGATGCGATCCCTTGCAAGATGGCCAAGATAAGTCGTTCACGACCGTGTCCAGTGTAGGCCCGCTGGCCTTCTGGCCGTGTGGGGGTTCACTAAGGTCCTGCCCCCCCGGCACCTCCCGTGGGGCCGGCTGGAGAGTCTCCACCAGCCCGGCACTTGGCCGTAGTAAAGCAGGTGGTGAGGGACGTAAAGTCTTCAAAGAACAGGTAGATTTCTCCACTGGAAGAATGTACGTGTGCGTGTATGTGAAGTTACTTCAGTCCTTTGTGTGCCGAGACGGGACGTGATTATCCTGTTCTACGTAGTTCACTTCAGATTTAAAAGCTCAGTTCGCATAAGATGATTTGTTGGTGGGAACCATGATTTTATAGCTACATCAAAAATCCCGGAATAAAATCAATATAAATTTAGGGCTTTCTTAAAGGATCAGTTCAGAAATCACAGGAGAAAACCCATTAGGACTCACATCGTCTCTTAAATCATTATATACTTTGCATTTACCATGCTGACTGTGTGCAGCTGCCAGGTCTGGCCTCGATGGAGCTCTCTTCTCCACTGGCCAGTGATCTGGGAGCCTCCCAGGCCAGCACCTGCCTGAGGTCGACCTAAGGGTCACACACACACAAGAAAGCTTCTGAGAACGCAGACCCACCGTTCGCTGAAACGAACAAACCGCGTCTTGACAAAACCATGTGCTGTAGCAGAGGCCTTCGTTACTTTTTTCCCGGCATGATGCCAGGCTGGTGCCTGATGTCATAGCTTACAGCCGCTTCCAAGAGGCAAACCCAACCGTGAGTTACAGGTCAGAGGGAAGCTGTTCGAGTAGAGAACACGCCGGGGCGACCATGCAGGGAGACGAGGCCAGAAGTAGAGCTCACCCCGGGGTTGACAGAGTTCGCGTGTGTTCTAGAAAGTGAGGGGAGTGTGTTTGGTGGACTTTGAGAAAATCGGCTTTGAAAGAGCACCTTTCCCATCAATAATAGCTAAATGTCACTTTTAAGCTTCTCTAGAAAGATCTGATTCCTAGACTAAAAGCTACCTTATTCCTTCACCTAAGAAGAAGGTCTTTTGAAATTTTAAATATTTGTAGGTTCATCTTTCTTGAAGACTAGGGTATTTAAAATAAAATCTTGAACAATTGAAGAGACCCTGAGTGCACTCTGACTTCAGTTTCAGACCGTCGTGGCTCAGGTAAACCCCGACCAAAGAGCGAAGGTTTCGAGCTCTATAACAATTCAGCTCAAAACGGGTCACCCGAGAGCCCTCAGCTGCCTTGGGCAGAATACAGCGAACCGAAGAAGCTCCCTGGCGATGACAGGCTGATGAAGAACCGGGCTGACCACCGCTCCAGCCCCAACGTGGCAAGTAAGAGGGACCGCTGTGGCCATTCCTTCCCTGGCCTTTGAGCTAGCTCTTGTCCAGATACACGCACGGTCACGGCCAGAAAAGGCCGGGGGGGTGGGCACCCTGTGCTTTCTTAGTTATCAGAATGACATTGCCTGCGTATGCTGGCTGAGATGTGTTTTTCATGAGAGATACCCCAAGCACTGTCCTTGCGACAGGTAATAAGAACGAAGTTCGAAAACGTTTGATTGCCCTGATGCTCTAGGGCAGTACGTTGACCACGTCCGCAGCAGGGGATGGTGAACATTTTATGCTTTTAAGGGGTTGTTAACAAGAAGGAGGCTCAGTGGAAGGGTAATGCAACACTCACGAGGTTTGCAAAGCCTGAAATACTGACTGTCCCGTTGCCGGGAGGGTTTGCCAGCCGCCAGTCTGTAGGTAATACTTTCTGGCCCTGGGCTCTGATTATTCGAGAGAGGGGAGTGGGTATGAGGAGCCCTGATGTCACCTGTGCCCCAGTTTTCGTCTCTGTGCTGACTCCTCACCGGCCGTTGGAAGATGCCCGGCACGTGCTCACCACCCATAAAGGACGTTAAGTGACGTTGTGTCGAGTTGTCCTCCCAGGAGTCACCTTTCTTTTCCCTGCCTCTTTCCAACGCAGATCAGCCCCCCAGTCCCGGAGGGAAAAGCACGTACGCCCCTGGAGCAGCCGCTAAGATCACGTCCGTCTCCACCGGAAACCTCTGCACTGAGGTCTGAGAGAGGAGGGAACCGTTCTCGCTGTGATGAACACCTAGATTATCTCGTGACGCTCACGCTCTGTAGATTAGCATTGTTTGTAATCCCTGAGTACTGCTTTTTTTGTTTTTAATAGAATAGGTAAATTAGCTTTAAATTGATAGGGCAAAATGAAATGTTTTTCATTATTCCTAGTAGAGGACCACTTTTAATTCTTAACACAGGTTTAAAAATACACAGAAACCACATTTTAAAACAGAATGTTGGAAGTTAAATGAGTCCGTGTACAAATTGCCAAAAGCCCGCTTTCTTCTTCACGTTTTACAGGAGCAGACCCCTCCACCTCGACCTGAGGCCTACCCCATCCCCACCCAGACGTACACCAGGGAGTACTTCACCTTCCCGGCCTCCAGGTCCCAGGACCGCGTGGCTCCCCCTCAGAACCAGTGGCCCAATTACGAGGAGAAGCCGCACGTGCACACAGATGGTCATCAGTCCGGCCCCGCGATGCAGGTCAGAGAGGAGGCCACGGACATCCGCGCCCTCAAAGAGAATTGGTTTGGCAGGGTGGAGTCTGAATGATTTCTGAGCTACAGCCGACGTGCTCTGTAGGACAGTGCTGTCCTACATGGTCTCCCGGGTAACTGAGGAAGAGGGGATGGGAGGGAATACTAAATGCGAAAAGGAGTTCTTTGTTCTCTGGAAGTTCGATTCACAAAGTGTTCGTAACAGTGCACCCTAATGACAGTTTGTGAGGTGGGATCACGGGCTCCAGGGCTGAGAAACGAGCGGTGTGTGTTTTTTCTTACTTACACCAGAGGCCGTCCCAAGCGCTGGGACGCAGGCGTGACCGGGGTCCCTACCCGTGACCCTAATGATGCGATGGGGAAGCGAGGCAGAGGACGTAAACACGGGGTAGTAGGTCCTGCTAGGGACGTGGGTCCCCGCCGAGCGACTGGCGCCTGGGCTCCCGTGGTCCGTTACCGCTCTCTGAGGGAAGAGCGTTTCGGACAGGGGAGGAGGCCCGGGTGGGCTGCTGAGCGGGAGCCGGGGGGTGGGGTGCATCACAGGCCTTTGCAGCCTGGAACCACGCGGAAGGGCTCAAGTGACGGGAAGATGAAGGGTTCAGGTTCTATCCAAGCTAGTAGAGAAGGGGCCGTCAGGGCGGTGGAGCTGGGGAACGTCATCAGATGTGTCTTGTGTTTAGAAAGAGAACTTTGCACCGTGGGAGCCTGGGAGAAGTCAGATGTATGCTTAAAAATAGGTGTGGTCTGGGATGTGTGACGACACCGGGCCCGGGTAGCGCGTTCCGGCTGTGCTGCTCTAGAGACTGGGGGCTGAGGGTGGGACTGGGCTGAGCCGAGGAGGGTGGGAGAGCAGAAGAGGGGTCACAGTCACAGTCACGGGAGGCAGCACGGACAGCGGGGAAGAGCCTCGTGTCCTGAGGTCCACGGCTCCGTCCTGTCCCGTTACCCGAGAAGCCCAGTCTCTTCGAGAGTATCGGACACCCCCCGCCGGCTCGACCAGCGGGCTGGAGCAGGCTGCGAGAGAGGATTTCTCCAGATTTCTCTTCCACAGTGAATGCTCATGTGCCTTGCTCCCTCCCCAGGGAAGACCTGCTTCCCATATGTCGAGGGAATCCACACGTGTCTCCTGTCTTACGGGAATAGCGTTTAGTAAGCCTCCACATTCATGTTCGTGGTGCACGTCCGCTTCTGCCCCACACGTGGGTAACGGGCACCTAGAAGAGGAAGCCAGGAAACCGGGACGTCCGGGTGTGGGAGGGTCGCTTACTTGGATCGTGAAATGACCGAGCATAAGAGTAGGACTTGCCAGGGGTGCACCGGGAGCTAGAACGATGTCCTCAAGGAGAGCGGAGGCCTGAGCCGGGAGGACCGGGAGCCGGGTCCCGCAGTGCCGCGGAGGAGGCGTGAACGCCACAAGTTTATGCTTTCAGAGGATCTGTTGTACACGTAGGGCATTTCCTGCTACGGTGGACTCTTAAATGACGTGGGTCTGGACTGTTCATGTCCGCTTTTACGCACGCTTTCTCAGTATGGTGCTCTGTCTTTTCTCATCCTTGGGGTTTTTGTCTTTTCTGTGGTTTACTGTAAGAATACAGTGAGTATGTAAGGAAACGGACTGTGTGCTGATCGACTGTTTATGTCACGGGAGAGGCTTCCAGTCGGCGGTAGGCTGTTAGTAGTTCAGTTTCTGGGGGAGTCAGAAGTTGTATGTGGATTTTTGACTACCCAGGGTTCAGTGCCCCTGTCCCCTGCCTTGTTCGAGGGTCAGCTACCTTTTTGTGCCCTGTAGACTGTCCAGCGGTCAAGAAACTTTCTGTGTCTGTAGTAAAGCTATAGCAAAATATTGGCAGTAAATGTTACATTTCTCTATCAGGCTGCTGTGTTTTCAAGTGATATTTCATTTTTTTCTTGGCTTATTTTTTAAGGAAAGGGAAACAGTTTACCTTCCAGATTTACATCTTCAGTTTCTACACATTAACAGAACAGGAAAAAAATGTTTGACATCCTAGTGAGTCATTTCTGTCACTTTAAACTACTTTTAGACATGCCATTTTTCAGACATGAGCCTCTTAGCCCTTTGAAACAGTGTATCCGTTTCATCTCTGACACACACGCATACACGTTCATGTTCAGCGACTGATGGCACTGTGTTCTGTACTTTGCCTTCTAAGACTGGAACAGACAGGCTCGGATGCATGGCTTGTCCTGCCTGTGCACACCTCTGTCAGCCCGTCAGCCCTGGGACCATGGCTCAGATAGTAAAGATTTGAGAACTAGTACTCTTACTTCGAACTTTACGACGGAGAAGTAAATTTTGCTGCTCTTCGCGTAGTTAGACTGAACACATTCCTCCTCGCGAAGTCCGTCGCGTGGGAAACCACAGCGGAGATGTGTGCACGCGGCCATACAAGAGGGGGGAAGGGCGCCATCCGTAAAGCAGCTGCGTTTCTGTGCGCTGCGCCGCCTCCTTTTCACAGTGATGCAGAGAAGGAAGTACGGCCCTTCCCTTTTTGTAACTGGAGAAGCGCTGACCCCCCACATCTTGCACCCCGCACCGCCAGAGACCTGGGCGGTCTCCGCCTCTGTGTGCCACTCGCTGAACAATTGCCCTAAAATGTTTTCTCCCTCGAGGTACAATATTTGTGAGTTTTTAATAATTTTTTCCAAGTGGCCGAAAGATAACGGTTTTCCGTGTTCTTTCTCTAGCGCGTCACCCGCTCCCAGGAGGAACTTCGGGAGGATAAAGCTTACCAACTCGAGCGGCATCGGCTGGAGGCGGTGCTGGATCGCAAGTCCGACAGTGACGTGTGGATCCAGCCGAGCTCCTCGGTGGGCTCCAGCACGTCCAGCCAGGAGCACCTGGACCCCTGCTCCAAGTCGGGCACCCCCGCCTCCACGCTGACCAAGAGCGGCCCCGGGCGCTGGAAGACGCCAGCCTCCGCGCAGCCCCTGCCAGCGGCCCCCCCGCCTGCGCAGACAGACCTGCCCCCGCCGCCCCCACCGCCCCCCGCGCACTACGCCGGAGACTTCGACGGGATCCCCGTGGACCTGCCCCTCCCGCCCCCTCCCAGCGGCCAGGCGGCGGCGGAGCGGAGAAAACGGGAGGAGCAGCAGCGCTGGTACGAGAAGGAGAAGGCCCGCCTGGAGGAGGAGCGGGACAGGAAGCGCCGGGAGCAGGAGCGGAAGCTGGGCCAGATGCGCTCCCAGGCCCTGAACCCGGCCGCGTTCTCCCCAGTGGCCGTCGCGCACACGAAGCCGGAGAAACCTTCCACGCTCCAGAGGCCCCAGGACACGGTCATCCGGGAGCTGCAGCCCCAGCAGCAGCCACGCACCATCGAGCGCCGAGACTTGCAGTACATCACGGTCAGCAAAGAGGAGCTGTCCTCGGGGGACAGCCTGTCCCCCGACCCCTGGAAGCGGGATGCCAGGGAGAAGCTGGAGAAGCAGCAGCAAATGCACATCGTGGACATGCTGAGCAGGGAGATCCGGGAGCTCCAGAGCAAGCCCGAGCGCAGCGCCGAGGACAGCGACCGCCTGCGCAAGCTCATGCTGGAGTGGCAGTTCCAGAAGAGACTGCAGGAGTCCAAGCAGAAGGACGAGGACGACGAGGAGGAGGAGGACGACGACGTGGACACCATGCTGATCATGCAGCGCCTCGAGGCTGAGCGGAGAGCAAGGGTAAAGGGGAAAAGTGCTGTGGGCGCGCGTTTCTGTGCTACCTGCCCCGAGCGCGTGGCGCTCCCGGCCCGGGGCCCTGGAGGGTTGAGGGGGGGCCCCTGGCCTGTAGCCTGTCGCTCTGTTTCCCGCTCGCTGGCGGTCCCGCACGACGAGCCGGGCTGGGAGGCGTGTTCTCTGCAAAGGGCTCACTGCCATCCAAGTGGAACTTTGCTGTTCAAGTCGGCAGACTCCCATTTGTCCTTCTCGTTAGCGCTTCAGTTGAGAAAACAAGCTCGTAACCGCTACTTTGTTCGGAGCCAGTTGAAGGCCTCCCCAGGGGTCAGCAGGATTTTTTCTTAAACGGCCAGATAGTCAAACATCTTAGGCTTTGTGGGCCGTACACGGTCTTCACGGCACCGCTCTGCTGTTGCACGACGGAAGCCGCCTTGGCCGCGGCGCAAACGGTGAGAACCGTGGGCCAGGGCACCCTTCACGAACGGGGGCAGGACACCTGCCCAGCCCAGGTCGTGATGGTCGGCACTGGACGGTGGGTGACGGAGGGGACTGTTGAGAGTCCCAGAGTTGCGGTTCTCGTAGCCTTGCCAGCAGGACACTCCGCGCACTGGCTGTACGCGGTGAAGCAGGTACTTAGGAAACTAAACCGTTCTGTTTCAGCGGGAGTATAGACACCGAGAACTTAGGGTTTTAATTTAATTTCTCCATACGACGAAAGTAATTTGTGCTTTTCGCATCAAACAAAGGAAGGAAAGGTCGTGTTAGTTTCGTGTGCTAGATTGTTAAAATGCCAGATTGAAGACTCCATTACCCTATCAGAACGGAGAGGCATTTGCCGGTATTAATCTGCAGACAGTGCTGTGGACCACATGGTAGGAGGTTTCACACAGGGCAGCTTTCTGGGAAGAGACGGCCAAGACCACGTCCTCTGGATTTTGTTTCTAATTGCCACTTTTACTTAATGCTGTCTGCCAGACATCTAAACAAGTAACTGTTACATCAGGTGTTTGAATGTTTCCACATCAGGACACAGAGTGACCTTAGATAGTGACCAGTCCATACAGCCAACTCTGACCCCTTTTCAGGTTTGCCTCGTGAGTTTTGTCCTGAAACGTTTCGCACACTTCTTATTACACACTTCTTGTCAGCAAAGGGGATGTGGGACTTTACCCAACATCCAGCTGAACGAACACCCAAATGTTAAGTCACCAGTAATAAACTCCTGAAAAACAACTGTATTTACCCTCAGTGCTACTTTATTTCAAAGTGCATCCGGTTAACGATGCATTACTTGTAGCATAAGAATTCTCAGCACAGCGCTGACCCTGGGGTCCGGACCCTGGTGTCCACCGTGTCCACGGTTGGCTGAGTGCTCCATGCAGGGTCCCCTCCCTGTCCTCGGCCAGTGCCACTAGAGGCAGGGCGTGTGCCTCTGGCCCAACTCTCCCGTCCCCAGGACACAAGAAAACAGCGATGTTTACTGCAGTTCATACTGAACCAGAAGCCGATGTGTATGGTAAATAGGTAGACATTGTTAACATTTATTGTTATAACTGTATCCCCCCTCCCCCCGCCCCGTAGTGAAAAGTTAGCAACTGCATTGTAGTATTTCTCTAATTATTCTTAGCTGTGAATTTTTATTAAAGGTCTGTCAGGTTTTCCAAATAGTTCACAGTGACCATTTCAAAGCCTCATAGCGTGAACTATGACATTTGGAAAGTTTCTTACAATTTTAGTGAAAAGTGTCTCCGTGTTCATCATTAATCAAATTTAAGGTGAATATCTTAGTCCCCAAGTAACAGCTCAGAGGAATTTTAAAGTCCCTTCCGTGTATCATAATAACGAAACTCAAGTGTTTAATGCTGTGTGGACATTTTCCTGTTTGTGGGTGCCAGAAGTCCACGCATAGTTTTCGCTGTGCTCCCCGGGCCGTCCTCCAACGCAGGTGACGCGCGGGAGCAGCGAGCACGCGGGGTGGAATACGGTCTAAACTTGACTTTTTTTCACACTTCATCTTTCTTTTTGTTTCCTTCTCTGTTACTGCAGCAGACTGGTCTGCCAGCAATCTCTGTTCTAGATTTGGTATGTTCTCATTTCTTTCCCTTTGGTACTTTTTTCCTGTCTTGATTTTCTTTTTTTCTGTTAGTGGTGGTGGTTTGTGTTCCTAGTAGACGCAGCTCCTTGGGGCGTCCTAGCGCAGGCGTGTAGTTGCGGGATCGAGAAGCATGCCTTTCCGTGTGTTTAGATTTAGTTACTCTTTGCTTTCCTCCGTTAATTTTAAGTGTTACTGTTTGTTTATGGCTTTGACCTTTTCTCAGTTTTAGTCACAAAATTGATTCTGTGTATTTTTACGTAGAGTCACAAATACGCGAGCAAACGAAAGAACCTGCAACGAATAACCTATTTCATTTTTGTTACCCTGGTAATAGATTTTGAATAACCGACTACTAGAAACTCAATCGAATTGGTATTCACGTTGTTTTGCCAGTTAAGATGTAACTGGCATCTGTCTGTTGGCAGAAAAAGAGAGCTTTTTGGTAAATGTTGCTCCGTTTTCTTTAATAATTTCGCATGGACTTCAGTTTGCTTCACCAGCCATATCGTCTGCCGAAACATACCTGACATCCTATTCTGTTGTCAGTTCAGGGTTTTTGTTTGTTTCATGTTTTATTTTTGAGGGGGAGTGCAAGCTGCGGGGGTGGGGGGAGGCGGACAGAGGATCGGAAGCGGGCTCCACACAGTCAGCGCATAGCCCAGCGCAGGGCTCGAACTCCCGAACCGCGAGATTGTGACCTGAGCCGAAGTCGGGCGCTTAACCAACTGTGCCCCTCGATTCAGCGTGTTTGGTATCCACGTTCGGGAGATTCAGTCGACCGTTTAGTGTCCATGGTGCTCCAGGGCCATTATCAGTGTCACCGGCCACGAGTTCTGCGCCGGCTGAAACGTTCCTAATAACTTGAGGTCATTTTTTGTTAGTCACTTTTTTTTTTAATTTTTTTTTTTTTCCAACGTTTTTATTTATTTTTGGGACAGAGAGAGACAGAGCATGAACGGGGGAGGGGCAGAGAGAGAGGGAGACACAGAATCGGAAACAGGCTCCAGGCTCTGAGCCATCAGCCCAGAGCCCGACGCGGGGCTCGAACTCACGGTCCGCGAGATCGTGACCTGGCTGAAGCCGGACGCTTAACCGACTGCGCCACCCAGGCGCCCCTGTTAGTCACTTTTTAAACGAACAAGGACAGGATCCGACAGTACTTTTAAAACGTCCTGAATCTCCGTCTGACTTCAATGGCCTCCTCATTAAATGACAGCCTCTCCCCTGTTTTTAGCTCAACAGTGTGGTGGCACGACCACTGTGCAGAGAAGCCCCTCCCAGAAGCATTTCCCACCTCGATAACCGAAGAGCATATTTGTTTTAGCGTTACCTCCCCCCCCCCCCCCCCCCCCCCCCCCCCCCGCATGAGACAAAGACAAAATATGGATGTTTTCTCCGCACTTGTTTGTATGGCAACGTGCACCTGTGGTGGGCGGTCGGAAGATACCGGTTAGAGCAGATTCTTCGTTTGAGATGCTCATGTTACATCCTCTCTGGGCATCCATTGCCCACCAGCTACTGTCCCGAGGCCCTGGCTGGTAGAGATTTTCCAGCTCTGTAGGCCTAGTGAGACTCTTCTGTGCAGATTATGTGACAGATAGACAATACGTAGGGATGAAGGAGGACACGAGGATTTGTGTTTTGAAGACACAGTTCAGAGTTCTTCTTTCTTTAAAAGGTAGTTTTTTTCACTCCTATTGACCTCAACCCCCCCATCTCTGAGCATTTCTCAGCCTCATTTCCTGGCAAACATGACCGTTCTTACAGCGGTGTCCTTACGTAGAGTCCTTCGGTCAGAATTGGCAGCTTGTCTACAGGGAGGTGCCTCTGCCAGGCGCCCGTCCTCTTGCCGGGACAGGGGGTGGCCCAAGTGCCAGCAGAGAGTAGGGACAGCGCCCCGCGTGGCTGTGACGGTGTCTCCTGGGTACGACCCTGGGATGAACGGGGCAGGTGCTCTGTCGGGAGCAGCCCACAGTCTCACCGGCTCTGCTCTCCCTCTGGACTTGTAGTGGTCGGCACCCCAACCAGCCCGGGCCCCCACGCCCCCGCCTCCAGACCCCGGGAGCTGGAGAAGCCAGCGACACCCGCGTTTGCGTTTCTAGCCCAGGCCTTGCCCTGGCCCACACTTCCGCCTGCAGTCAGACAAGACTTTTCAAAGCTCAGCATGTTCGGAAACCGCCCCCACCCCCACCCCAACATGCTCCTTGTCCACCTTCAGCCTTCCGCATTTCAGCTGATTCTTTTAATTGCTCAGTCCAAAAGCCTTAGTTACCATAACCCTCTTTTTCTCTCCATCAAGAAACTGTTTTTACTTCTCAGAATCTGACCACCTCGACACCCACATTGTCCTGAGCCACTGCTGTCCCCACCTGGCTCAGTGCAGGGGACTCCCTTGCTTCTGCGTTTGTTCCCTGTGTCACAGTCTGTTCTCAACACAGCAGCTAGGGTGATCCTGTTTAAAAAAAAAAAAAAAAAGTCACATCTCAGGAGTCTTCAGAACCCTGTCATTTAGAGAAACGTCCTGGGTCTTCCCATGCCACGAAGTGCTGGTGTTCCGTCCATGCCTCCGTGCACCTGCTGTGTGGAGTTGGGCAGATGTCGGCCTCCGCCGTAGCCGCACCCGGCTCCACTCAAGTTTGCAGGGAGGGACTGGTTGTGTGACCGGGCCTCCGTTGCCGTAGGTTGCCAGACAATTACACACACTTCCCCCGGGGGAACCTGTGACGGAGGCAGAGCAGACGAGGCGGCACGCCCAGTAGTGACAAGTCACGCAGTGTCGCAAAGAGTGAGAGTCAAGGTTCTTACCGGAATTTTCTGAGTTTATATTTATTTCATATCGTGCTGCACAACAATGCCTCCTGCTCATGAAACTCCTGCCAGGAGCTATCTTCCAACTAGAAATTGACGTGACCTGACAGTCTCTCAGTTGCCTGGTCTCAGGCTTTGTCCTGTTACCGTCTTAGTGGTTCGTCTCCTGGCTCTGAGGACCCGACAGCTCAAGGGGAAGACTCCCTCCCCTTGGGGTGGTAGCAGCCGAGTGACGCTGTCACCGATTTCAGCATCTCTACTGCTGACCTCATGGGAAGGCCCAGGCCAGGTCCGCCCTCGTAGGCCACTTTCCTGTCTGGTCTTCGTGTGGGACTGGAAGAATTGGCATACGAGGGGCTGAACCGAAAGCAAGATCATAAAAACCTCAAGCAAGAGTCAGTAGGAACCCAGCCGAGAGCTGCACCTGCAGAGAGACCCTGCCTGCTCCCCCGGAGTCCCCCGCCTCGCGAGCGGGGTCTGGCTCCGAGGGTGGTGTCCAAGCCTGCCTTCAGGGAGGGTCAGTTTGACTCCAGGAAGTAGGAGGAGAATATGCTCGAATGAAAGCCAGCTTGTTGGCATGCTGGAGTAGAACACAGACTCCTGTGGTTGCAAGATGAGATCGTTGCTGTGAGAGAGCTCCCGATGTACGTGGTAGGCCGCGTGCAGCCATGCAGCCCCACGCAGGCTCACCTGTCCCTGCAAGGCCAGAGCGTTTCAGCTGCTGATAAAATTGTCACTGTCCTTACATTGAACGGGCAGGGGCATGGGCTGTGCCCAGGGAAGAGACTTGCACACCAAGTGCCTGGGGTCGTGGGGATGGCTTTCCCCATGAAGAAACACAAAGTGGACTTCCTCTCCCGCATGGGGCTCGTGGGCTGAACCCGAGTCGGGTGCCTGAGCCCGGTAGCAGTAAACGGCCTGCACGTGGGGGTCCTTCACTGCGGGGCATTAACATTTTTTAGGGTATTGTTAACGGGTGGGAACATAGGCGGATGACGCTTGCCTGTTGCCTTAAGGGTGACCCTGACAGGCTTCCGGTCATGTTTCCAGCGAGGATCCCAAAAGCGAAAGGACACCTTGGCCCTGATTTGTATTCATATATCGCAACAAGATCGTCTCCCTTAATGGAGTTTTTACTGTACATTAAAGACACGAGTTAGTGTCTTCTGTGGCATAAAGTTATAAACACACGGATCACAATGTAGCTGTTTTCTTTTTTTAATCTGAAGATGAGGGGAGGACCGCCAGCGTAGCGAGACCAGCCAGGCTGGTGACAGTGGCTTCTGAGACCCCGCCTTAGTTCTCGGCCAAGAGTGGCTGTGGTTCGGGCTGATGGCTGCTGTAAGAACTGCGGCTGCTTCTATCTAGGCCTGTTCCCCCGAACGTAGCTTCCTGCAGGTGGCTTCCATAGTAGCCCACCCTTCATTCTCTGTGTGTAAAACACTGAGCCCGTGTCCTCTTCTTCTCACCCCAGGTTAACACAGTCTGTCCGTGCAGCTCAGCCTGTGTTAAATGTGTGGCTTAGGTTGAAACGCCCTTTCCCTGGCACTGAACGCAAGTAGACCACACAGCACAGCGTACCATTTTGAGCTAATTTGGAGTAAGTTTAGAGGCTAGGTTACCATTCCTGTCATTACACTTTTGGGGGAGGAGGGTCGGGCAAAGCAGCATCTGTATGAAGAATGAAAAGCCTTGTTTTGGAAGTGAAAAGACGTGAAGCAGCTTGCCAGGCAGTGGGCAGAAACTGCCTTTGTCGCGACAGCACGGATGGGTTCATGGGTAACAGTAAAAAGAGGAGCTGGGGACCTTAACACCGGAGAAGGTTCCTCGCCGACCCCATCCAGCTGTAGAAGAACGAAGGTTTTCAAGAGAAGGTGCCTGCTGTAGATTTGCTAGGTAGCATTCTGTACCTGTAATTATGAGAATTGCAGTTGTGCCCGTTTCTGAAAATGGTGCCTCTCCTCAGCGGGGAGGACCCAGCGGGCCATTTTAGCGTGTTCTGTTGTCCTTGCTCAGACCTGTTTTTAATTGCGTCTGGCAGGTAAAGCACGACGAGGGAGTCTGTGCGGCTCGCTAACGTGCTTTTACGCCCTTCCATGTAGCGTATTTAATACCAGCTGCTAGCTTATCTGGTTATTTTTATTTGGGTGCCGTTTCTCACACTTCGGACCGATGAGTGTAGATTGGTTGACGCACTGGTGCTGCGGGCCATGGACCCTGCCGTGGTGGGGGGAGCTCCCCGGTGGAGGCCAGCCCTGCGCGACCCCGGGGGGCCGGGAGCCCTCACAGTTCTGCCTTGTTTCTTGGGCTCGGAATCCGTAGCCTGTGCTCCCGCTCTGAGCCCCTCACAGCCAACATCCCAACATCTCCCCTGGGCTTATGCCTAGATTTGAACTAAACGGGAAATTACGTAAATTTGTCTTCTTGAGGAGCGGGGTTTTTTTTTCTAAGATGTTTTAATATTGTTTGCTGACCTGAAAAAGCCTAACGATGCCAAGTTAATTTGTTCCTTTCCCATCGGCTGCAGTGTTTATTCCACAGAAATAAGGCAGGAGTGAAGCTGTTAAGGTTTTTGTTTTTAAAAAAAATACAAATACAATTCAAATCCCGTTTCTGTTTTTGCTGTGAACAGTTTCTACAGTAAGCAGTAATTCCGTAAATACTGAAACACACCACGAGCAATTTGACTTAAGGGGAGTCCTTCAGGGGCTTTAACAATGAAACTAGATGGCGTTGGGTTACGTTCTAATTTTTAAAATTTTGAATCAACTCCTCTTGACGTCTGGAGGCACATTTCTTGGGTGCTACCGCAGACCAGCTCTGGAACAGAAAGGAAATACTTGGAGAAGCAAGTTTTCAAAGTTGCTTCTGGGGCCGTAACAAAAGGGCGTTTTCCTCTGTTCTGGTCAAATGTACGTTTAATCCAAGGATCCTTTTAGAAAAGATATTCTCAACCTGTGGCACATAGAGGAATTTGACTCTATGCTGTTTCGGGGAGCAGGCGGTAGGTTTCCAGACACGAGAATTAATTCAGAGACCGGCCAATTGACTTGGCTGAGAGGTTGTAGCAGAAGAGAGGTGAAGTGAGGTCCCTTGCGAATACAGGTTCAGATTCTTTGGCTCAAGACTTTGGGGTCTCCCTGGGCTGAGAAGGAATTCTTGGAGTCCGGGATGGGGTCTGGAGAAAGCCGATGGCCAAGGGTCAGTGGGCCAGGGGCTTGGCCCACGGTCCCGGTATCCCTCTGGGGTTGCGTGCTGACACGTGGGACCCGCCCCAGGGACCTGAGGTCTGTGTGCCCCAGCCCACAAGCATGCAGACCGGAGGGAAGGAGGATGGGGGGGAGACGATGGCCGAGTGCACCCCGTAGTTGCGTAACTGGAGGGTCTGTGTGTCACGGGAGTGTGGTTTATGTGAGCTGGCTACAGTCCTGCTTATTCACGGTGTGGATGTATGAAACAGATTCCTTCTTGGAGCAGTTCGTGGAACTGTGGGGACAGTGCTGTTAGGCAGCTTAATTTTGAAACGTAGAGCTGTGAAATGTGTACGTTTTGCCGTCTTCCCACGGTGATCTAACCGGGTATTTTGTATCTGACGTCGTGTGTGTGTGTGTGTGTGTGTGTGTGTGTGTGTGTGTGTGTGTCTGCTTGTGCCAGTGTGTGCTCTCTGCGCTTCGTGCTGCTGGAGCGTGTAGGGCGGAGGTTAAAGTCCCTGCGTTGTTAGTTACAGGACGAGGAGCGGCGGCGGCAGCGGCAGCTGGACGACATGCGCAGGCGGGAAGCGGAGGACCGCGCCAGGCAGGAGGAGGAGAGGACGAAGCGAGACGCCGAAGACAAGGTCATGGTCCTGTAGGGGCGGCTAGAGGCTTCCCGGCTTAGCCTGAACCCGATGGATGGGCTGGGGCAGAGGGGCAGACGCTGCACGCATCCTAACGCGTGCGAGACACAACGGGGCCTGGACCCCTCCTTTGTTGTCGGACCGGAGACTGGAGCCCGGCCCGGCCCGCCCGCCTCTGCTCCGGACGGTGTCCACGTCCTCCCACCTGAGTCCTGTCTCTCTCCCGCTTCTGAACTCGTAGGCCCGTCGGGGTGGCCGAGCCTCCTCCCGGCCGGTCCGCTCCCTCGGGGCCCTGCCCTTTCCTGGACGTGGCCCCGCCTGGTGGGGTGAGGGTGGTGCTTGTGCGGCTGTGCGGTCGGAGCTCGGGCGGTGAAGCACCAGGGACGTAGACGGTGTGTTCGCCCCGCGCATTTCAAGTAGGTTCCTTACGGAAAGTACTCCGTTCTGGTTGGTGGTCAGCAGGTCAGATAGCTTACAAAAAGCGTGACACGAGGAAAATTCAACTAGAATGTGATCTAATATCCCAAGTTGTTATTTTGGTTCCACATGTGGATTCTTTTTATGACAGTAATCTTTTACGTGAATTTCAAAATGACAGCTGATTGGGTCCATCCTGAGAACCGGGACCGCAGTGTGTGTGCAGCTGGCCCTGAGCGGGGCACCCGTGGCGGGGGTGGGGGAGCCTGTCCGCTCTGACGCTTCCCTTCTGTGAAGGCGGGGGCCGTGGGCGCCACAGCTGCCGGTGGGGAGTTTTCGTTCCTGATTCCTCCTTTGACAGTCTTGTGAGCCGTATTAATGAAGCCCCCTCCTCCCCCGAAAGAGAGCGCTTTTAGGAAACCTTGTGTAGTGATACGACCCTTCTGGATGTGTAACTAGTGAAGAGCTCGATTGGCAGAAACGATGTGACTCATCTAGACAAAAGTAGAATAATAAGGCTAGGACATGTACCTGTGTGAAAAGTAGCGGTCTCTGCGTCTTCTAGACCCTCACGGTTCCTTGGCATCATCCTGTGACCTTCAGCGGCTGTGTCCACATAGCTTCTGCAGTCTCGGAAGCGGCCTCTGCTAGTGGGGCCGGGTGCCCCGGTGTCTTTCACTTGTGTCGGGAGAAGTCCCGGTCAGAATCAGTTCTCCGCAACGTGAGCCCCTAGACTTGTCAGTGCAGGGGTGTGTTGTGGCCCGCACCCCCCTCGGGGCCCGTGTGCGGGAGGCCTGCCCGCGCCCTGTGTTCAGGCCCTCCGCTCCCAGCCTCTTCCAGCGTGAGCCCTCACAGCTCACCACTATGTCATGTAACGCTTGGGTCTCACTCCGTAACTGCTTCTAGAGTTGAGTGGTCACTAAAAAGCTGGATGAGCTGTTTTTTATCCGCAGCGTCCACAATTGAGGGGCTGGCTTTGTTACAGAAGAACGTGCCATTCGTTAGTCGGATGGGCCACCTGTCCGGTCACGTCACTGTATCTGCTCTTAGTGTAACTATAAAGGGATACTTTGGTCTCCTCCTAAAATGTCGTCAGGTGGCTGTCGTTCATGTCACACTAAAGGCCACAGGGCTCATTCTGGATTTGATTCCCGAGCCTAATAAGCAGACCCTTATTTTATGTTAGAAAACAAGGTAAAAGATGTCTCAACACAGAGTAAGAAAATAAAGTGAGAAATTGGGTCCAATGCCAAGACGAGGCTGGCTGGCACCTGACCACGAAAGGGGAAGCGTGAGTGCTGTGGTCACCGTGTGTGGGGCTGGGAGGGCTGGGGGGCGGGGAGCAGACCGCAGACATAAGCACACACCTCCCGGCGGGGGCCAGAAGCCTGTACCCGAATGCCAGCAAGGTCCCTGAGATTAGTTGTGTGTTTTGGGTTGAGTGGACTTCAAACCCGTTGGCTGCGCTCTGCAGCCTGCACGGCATCTAGGCGGACGCAGAGCTTCCAGTTTGACCTCACATCCCTCTCTTCCATCCACTTTTCCATGTGTTCTGGAACCTGTCAATCTTTAACCCAACTGTGCTGTGACCTTTTTTAATGTTAAAATAATTTTAACGCTGTCAACTGTAGTTTGTGCAGATGTATGTCAGAAAAAAATGTACAGTATGTGTCAAAATATATTTGAATATCGTGTTGCTGTTGCTCTTAATGCCTGGCTCTCTCATTTTCTGTCTGCCAGGGAGTTTAAGGTTTGAACTGTAAATTAAGAACTGCGGAAAGCATACCTCTATCTGTTAGATTGTCGCCCTGGGAAAATGAGTAATGTTTTATGGTTTCTGTTCACTTCTCTGAATAACTGGAAATAAACCAGGTGACTTCATCTTCCTTCTGGTAGAGGAAGGGCTGCTCTCTGGACCCTGGGGCTCGGTGAGACAGCGCGCGCGCAAGGCGGCTGTTCTTGAGGGCGCCGGCTGTAGAAAGCCAGCTAGAGCCTGTTTTTGGTTTGGTTTTGTCTTTAAACCCAGCAGTGAAGAGGTAAGTTAACATCCTACAAGAACAGAAGGAGAGAGACAGGAGCAGCCGAGAATTAGAGAGAGGCCTGGAGGGATAACTGAATGGGGACAGTGGTGTAGGATTGGAAGCTGGAGCTTGAAGGTGCCTGAGCGTCCGTCCGTCCATGCTTTGGAGCGGTTTCACGTCAGATAATTCCACAGTAGCCTGAGTGTGTCCATGCTTCCGGATGGATCTGCCTGTCCTGTCCTAGAACGTTCTGTCGAAACTCTCCTATCCCCTGGATTCGCAAGGGTGTGCAGAGGGGGTCAGAGGGTGACGCGTCCTTTTGCACCCTGGGAAGGCCCCCTCCTGACTCTGACCTTTGCGCTTTTGTGTGTTCCGCCCGCAGAGGCGACAGGAAGAAGGTTATTACAGCCGCCTGGAAGCCGAGAGGCGCAGACAGCACGCGGAGGCCGAGCGCAGGCTGCTGGAGCCGGAGGAGCCGGGCCTGGGCAGACCGCCGCTGCCGCGGGGCTACGAGCTCCCGGCCCCGTCCTCCCCGGCGGCTGCTCCTCCTCCCCCACCTCAGCGGACCGCCTCCTCCCTGCAGGCCCCGGCCCTGTCCCCAGACTCCCTGTACACCGCCAGGCTCGTTGCGTACCACGAGGAGGAGGAGGAGGAGGACTGCAGTCTGGCAGGTCAGGACAAGCTCTCCCACACCGGCAAGTCCCGGGGCCGCCTTCCTCCCGCCGCCCCTGCGCCACGGCCACCCCCGCGCCGGCCGCGCCCGGCCTCCGACGGCCTCTTTCTCTCCGGCTCCCTGCAGCCCCCCTCGGCCGCTGCCCACGGTGCTGCTCCCGGAGCAGGCCGGCCCCCTCCTCCCCCTCCAAAGCCACTGGGCTCCCACCACCCCCGCCACTCGAAAGGTAGAGGTAAAGCGTGGGGTCATGGGGTCACCAATCAAGCCCCCTGTGTCTTCCTTCGTGATTGGAGTGGGGACTGCGCGGCCCCTGTGGTGGGGGCCGCCCCAATCAGCACTCGCTCCGGCCTCTTGATCTCGCTTGCTCACTAGTCTCTGCCTCTGGGTGTGTCCGCCCTGCACGGCTGTGGCCTGTAGGGTCCCAGTCCTTCTCCCCGGTCACCAAGTACTGTTTCAGCCTTCATTCTCTGCCTATTCTGATAACTCTTACACTTACTTGAACAAGTCCTTTCTTCCACACTTTTTGGTGTCTAAAGATAAGATCCTCTCAGCCGTAGTGTCACGGTCACACGCACACTAAGTTTCGTTCTTTAACATGAGTAACACTTCTCTGTTCTGAGTTACCTGCCCCAGTAGTTCCCCTACCGAGCTGGGTCATAACGATGGCTCCCGCTTTCCGTGGTAGTCTGGTGGCCTAGTCAGTGCCACGCTGCGCGGATGGCCCTGCTGTCATGCGAGCTGCCTCACGCCAGGGGCAGGGAACCCAGTCCTTGTGAAATCACTCCTCCCTCTGACTGGTTTCTCCTTCCCGCTCTGTGACATTCTCTGCCATCGCGGCACTAGCCAGACCTCAACAGGCACACGGCCACCTTGAGTTAACGTGTCCCGTGACATCACTGCCCAGTGTGACAGTGGTCCTGTCTGTGCCGGGACCGGAAGGCCACCGCAGGCGCATCTGCAGTGACCAGTGTCCAAGACAGCACTGCAGGGATATTTAAGATATAACCGAAAATCGTAAGGATTCAGACCCGACTTTCGTCTTACTATCTAAACTTGCTCACATCTAGTGCTTTTCAGGAGCACGAGGGCTTCCGACCCTCGTGGTGTGATACGCAGGACTCACGATTCCAAAAGAAGTTGGAAAGTCAGAAACATGCATAATGGTGGCTCTTCCGGAACAAGTGGGCTTGGCCAGGGTCTTGCCTCCTGTCTGCGCCAGTGCTCTGGTGCCCCTGGAAGGCTCGGCATGATATTCAGGCTGGGCCGCCCAGAAGCCAAAGTTAGATCTTTATAAAATTTCTGTTTTCGGCATCTAGAAAGTAGGACCTCAAAGACGTTTGTGGGATAATAGTCACTTTTGAAGGGAGATGCCATCAGTCTCCTTGCACATTACACACTGAACTTCAGATATTTTGTGTCCCGACACAAACAGATGAGGTTCGGTGACGCAGTGTTGTGGCAAGGCGGTCACTCGAGACCACTTTGGCTTTCACCCACGAGCTAACACTTAATTTATTTCGCATCTGAAACGCCACATAGGAGGTTCTGTCCCACACCTGCCCGCTCGTGCCTCTTTGAAGACTTCGTTCGTAAAGTACAAAGCTGTCTGCACCACATGCAGGGTGCTTGTGACCTCCCTGCCTCTCCCTCACGTGGCCGTGCCCTGGGCTCAGCTCACTTTTCTGTCGTGAGCACTCTGGGAAGGACACAGACTTGGTTTCTTCCACTGGGCCCTGGGGGGAACAGAATCGGGCTATGCATTGGAATAAGTAACATCCCGTTCCAGCATAGCAATATATTGAAAAATGTGGTTTAACTGGAGCTTTTTGAGAACTATTTGAAGTGTGCAGGATTCATATATATAGTCTCCTGAAAGTAATGTTCTGATTAACTTTGAAAATTTTGAAGAATTTTTACCAGTGGAAGAAGCAAGTGTCATTCTTAAAACAAAGCTCAAAAGATATGTCTTCTAAAACAAAACTTAGAGTTAAAATTGAAAAAATTCTATTCTGCAGATAATTAATGTGAAGATCCACTCTGGGTTATCTGAGGTTACGGATACAGTCTGTCTCATCTTTTGAGTCTTTGTGGAGGATGACTTTGCATACGGTGACCACAGGGGACCTTGCTGAGGGACAGGAGAGGTGCTGTGCTGAGACGTGACTGCACACGTCCGCACAGCGTGTCCTGTCCTACAGAAAAGCAAAAATTGATTTTTGTGCAACCTGTCTAAAAAGGATGATTTTAATGCTGAAATACTGTAATAACTGCCGTTTATTTAATCGGACACGCAGTGCTGTCAGCGTTGGCCGAATATTTTGAGTATTGTGCTCCGGCTTGTATCCCCATAAGGCAAAGGTTCTTCAAACGTGACATTTCTTTTTGCTGGTGTGATAACAGAGTACTGATATAATGCATTGTGATTTTAACACACCTTTTAATATGATACTGGGATGCATTTAAAAGTTCTCTCTGCATCATTTCTTGACCTTCAACATCCCCGTGGAGTAGATAAGGTGGCGGTGCTATTCCTGGACTGATGTTGTCGGTCACCTCAGTGGCTGGGCCAGGCTCAGAGCCAGGGACCCAGGCCGAGTGTCCCGCTGGCTTGCTCACTCAGTACATGGTGCTGCCTCGGGGAGTATTTTGGGTGAGTTTGTATCTGCAGCATTTATATCAAACACGAGGGGTTTTGGTGGCTCATTTGTTTTCAAAGTGTCAATAATTACAGCCATTTATGTAGGAAAAAATCCATTAGCTGTCCTGAAAAGAGACCCTTCAGTCACATGGTTACTGGCTAGGTTACATTCGCTCTCCTTTGTTTTGTAAGGAAGCTCCTCCCATCAGGACTGTCTGATCCC